GGGGGGGGGGGGGGGGGGGGGGGGGGGGGGGGGCGGGCGGGGGGGCGCCATGGACGGAGACCAAAGCCCTGCCTCCCATGGCTGGAGCTTGGGGCCCCGTAGCCAGAGGACAGAGCCAACTGCTGCTCAGCTGGAGCCAGTTGCCTGCTACCCCAGGGCTGAAGCCAGACCGTCTCCATCTCCAGAAGGTGGGGAACTCAAATGCTGGAGGAGCAGGCAGCCACTGTGTCCTCAGAGGGGGGTAGGGCCCAAACCCTGCTGGTGGCCCCAGAGGAGGAGTTACTGCTTTGTCTGCCCCCTGCCCCAACCACCACCACCACTGCCCAGAAGTCTGTGGCCATAAGAAAAGCCCCTGCTGGCCACAGTGGCAGCATTTGAGAAATGCTGGGTTACTGCGAGGCAGACCATGCCCTCCCCCAGCTCCTCCCATACCCCTTGAGATCCCCCAGAGCTCTGCCCCCATCTAAGCCCACCCTCACCTCACCACCCATGTTCCTCCCCTAAGCTGTCTGTACCCCTGCCCTCACCTTCACAGTGATGTTGCTGCTGCTGCTGCCCCCACCTTGAGGCAATGACTTTGAGGAGAAGCCAAAGTTGGCCGAATCATTCCACTGCATGTGGGGTACGCCGGACTGGGGAAGTGACGGACATGGTTACAGGGAGTTGCACAGCTGGCTGCCCATCCTTCTTGCACCAACCCAGCCCATCCCTTCCCCAGACACCCCTTCCCCACCCAGGAGCTGAACAAACTTCCCCATCCCCTCCCCCCTCTGCACTGCCCTTCCCCCTGCCCTGACATTCCCCACCTGCCAGCACCTTCTGGGACTTCACTGCCCCCCGTCCCCACCCCATCACCTTAACTAACCCTCCCGCCCCCTCCTCCAGAGGGATCCCCTAGCCCCACACTGCCCCTACCTGTCCTGGCTGCTCCTGCAGCCCGATTTCATCCCCGTAGTTGGTGAAGGGTGTCCCTGGCAGCGTGAAAAGTAGCATGTGATAGAGCCGCAGCAACCGCTCCTTCACAAGAGAGGCCATGTGTCCTGTCCTTGGGCCCCCCACCTGAAGAGACAGCAGAGATGCAGTGTCAGCACAGGGGGTGGGAGGTGGACGTATCCCCAGGTCTGGGAGGGGATGGGGGGCTAGTGGTCACATCCCCAGCCTATCCTCCTTTAGCAGCCCACACAGAACCCATATGCTTTATGGCACACATCTGTTGGAGCTCAGCTCCTGCCCTGTCTCCAAAAGGGAGCCCACTCTGAGCACTGGGAGCTATGATACAGATGGGGGGGCTTAGCATGGGGAACCGGTGGGGCAGGGGTGGGGTGAAGATGGGTCCATGCCCCAGACCCCTCACCCAATTCCAAGAGCTGGGGAAACAGAGTGGGCGGGAGGGCAGCACTCACACTCCAGCTGGGCCACTTCTCTCCTGAAGCCTGGATGTACTCTCTGATCGCGTTTTCCACCTTCTCCCCAGTGGGCTCTTCCCCCAGCCCCATCAGATACGGGCTGACCAGGAGGTCAGCGCTGGTCTCGTTCAGCAGGGAGAAGATCTGCCAGGAATCTCGTTGACCTGTCCCAGCGATCAGCACCCTGGGGAGAAGGGAGTCAGGGTACAGTGAGCGCCGGGGTCAGCTGTGAGGTTCTAGGAATGGGAAGGAGGGTGTGGGAGGCTGGGGTGGGGCAGGGTACAGAGTCAGAAGATGGAGAGGTATTTTCTAGAGGATGAGGGGACATGGGGGAGCTATGGGTGCTTGAGGGGGGGTTGGCACCAGGAGAGGAGAGAGGCATCCCAGGGAGGGAGCCTGGAAGGTGGGCATATTCAAGAGGGCTGGCATCCCACAGGTGCAGCCAGTCAACCACCACCGCAAAAGGGCCAGAACCATTTGGTGTGGGCTTGGCACCCACCTGGCATTGCCATCAGAACTGTACTGGCTGGTGAGGTTCTTCCACTCCACTAGAAGCTGGGAGTCCTGGAGGAGAAAAAGATCTGTGAGACAGACAGTCACTCCTCACATTACCTCCCGCCCCAATACCCCACAACCCTCCCCCACAACACATAGACAAGCCAGTCACTTACATTGAGCTTCTCTACTCCCTCCATCTGGATCCCTGCCACGCCAAACTCCAGCCAGAACTCCAGTGCAGCCTGCCCAGAGAGCGTGTGTCAAGCATCAGCATCTGGCATGCCCCACAGCCACCAGCCCTGCATCCTCCCACCAACTGACAGTCCCTCCCCAACTCCAGTGTAGCCAACACCTCCTCCCTCCAGGTCTCCATACCCCTAGCCCCCCTGCATGAGAAACCCAAACAGTGGTCCCAGCTGCTTTCCCAAAAATAGTGAGGATTCAGGGGACGTGGCAAACCAGGCCCTCACAGATCCCTAGGGAGAATC